GGAATATACAGATTTCTGTCTTTTTAAATTTTTTCCTAATTTTTTTATTTTTTCATCCTTTTTTCCATTTTATATTTTTTCTTCTTTTCCTTTTTTCCTACATAATTGGAACCAATTGGATTAAGGTATTCAAGTTATTTCAAGTTATTTCAAGCATCCATCACTGAGGAATGTTTTTGTAACAAGCAGTATAATATTGTAGAACCTATCTCCATGTTTATCCAATTGTATTACATTTAATTTTAAGCCTTCTTTTTCCTAGGAGTGAAGATGAAGAGCATGTGAAAATTAAGTATTTCAGGTAAATACGACTTAAACAATAATCTGTTTTGCAAAGGAAAATTAAAACTTAAAAAATTAATTTGGGGTATTGCGATATAAACAAGAGATCTCTGTATACTTTCTTGCAAAATCGGTTTAATGGCAGAGATCTTGAAACATCACATGTAATTTTCCTCTTTATTTTTATTGTAGGGTCCTATTAAAATTGGATTTCAAAGTCTAGGAAAGATACGTTTTGACAGGATTTTGCTCAGAATCCTGATTGGATAATTCAGAAAAATAGCCCAATTTAAGAATGGCTTAAATATGAAAGAAGACATGAGTTTCTTTGTAGCAACTGGCCAACAATATTTTAGTGGTGTGGAGAGAAAGAGAGTATTTTAATAGGAAAATACATTTTTGGTCTTTTTTATTTTGCCCCTTAGGGAGGCTCACAGCCAAACAGAGAAAAGAAGAAGAGACAAAATGAATAACCTGATAGAAGAATTATCGGCTATGATTCCTCAATGCAGCCCGGTGGCTCGTAAACTAGATAAACTCACCGTATTAAGAATGACTGTGCAGCATTTAAAGTCAATGAAAGGCAAGTATGAAATATTATCAAAAATTCCGAACGGCGATTCAAAAGCTGTCTTTTTTTAATCATCATCATCCTCTTTTAACAACTCCATAATCCCTTGCATTGGGGTGGAGTCTGGGCAACTGAAGGGAGCTGAGCATTTCCTGGCCAGATGCCCTTCCTGTTGCCAATGCAGAGTTATACTCAGCAGATACATTCTCAGTGTGCCCAGAGAGAGAAATACCTGCCTCCACCTAGGATCGAACTCACAGCCTGCTGATTGTGAGGCAAGAGCTCTACTCCTAGGCCACACGCATACACACACACACACACACACACACACACACACATACGGGTTACTCAAGCTTTAATACTCCTGGCAGCGTAACTAATGAATGAAATAGGGCAGCGGCTTTCATCCCGCCTGTCCATTTTGTTCTTGGTTTCATGTGTGAATGGCTGTAAAAATTTCATGCAGGTTTCCTGTACAAGTGATTTAACTTTATTTAAATTTATTGGAGGTCACTAGAAGAAAAGTGATTTAGAAGGCCGCTTCTGAGTTAGCATGTGTCATGTATTTGTTTTAGTTAATTAAGGAGTCCTTCCTTTCTTCCTTCCCTCCCTCCCTCTCTCCCTCCCTCCTTCCTTCCTCCCCTTCCTCCGTCCTTCCTTCTTCCTTCCTTCCTTCCTTCCCTCCCTCCTTCTTTCTTCCCTCTCCTCCCTCCCTTCCTCCCTCCCTTCTTCCTCCCTCCCTCCCTCTCTCCTTTCTTTCTTCCCTCCCTCCATTCCCACTCATCCCTCCCTCCTTCCCTTCCTTCCCACCTCCCTCTGCCTCTCCATTCCTCCTTCCCTCCTCCTCCCTTACTTCCTCTCTCACTATCTACCTATTTTTTTTCTCTCACACATATTTTGCAGGCTCCACTGGTTCTTACTCAGAAGTTAGGTATAAGCCTTCGTTTTTACAAGACGATGAACTTCAACACCTCATCCTTAAGGTAAATTAAAGGCAGGGAGAGGGACCTGCTATTTCTGCAAACAGCAACTGTCTTATACAAGAGTGTTTACGCCTGCATAGTGAAGATCCCAGTTTCCAGACTATTTATAAACAGAGATGTGCAAATGTCCCTTTTCCGAGCTCAGAACAGATTCCTCTGGTTTTAGAGACAGCTCCATTCTGCATCTGGAAATATTCTGGATATGAAAAGCATTGCAAGCTTAAAAGAATGCTTCAGCTGCAGGGAGAATAATGTTCCAATTCTTCCTTTTTAAAAAATTTGGGACAAGCCTTTCTAAACCCCAGTCTGGATGTTTTCACATTTGAAAGTTCTTAATGTGTACCCCTCCTATTCTAAAACAAGACTTAAAATTGACATTGCATCAAATTGGGACTTTAAAAGTTTTCAGACGAAGATGTAAGTCGAATGGAATTTAGTAAGCTGCTTGCTGCATTCAGTTACAATAAGTTTTAGTTAAAATTTTAACACTATTTAGACAATAAATAAATGAGCTAGGCTAAGTCACAGATTAGTTTTAATTAAAATTTTAATACCATTGAAGGAATAAATAAATGAACTAAACTAAATCACAGATTAGTTTTAATTAAAGTTTTAATACTATTGAAGGAATAAATAAATGAACTAAACTAAGTCACAGATTAGTTTTAATCAAAATGTTAATACCATTGAAGGAATAAATAAATGAGGTCGGCTAAGTCACAGATTAGTTTTAGTTAAAATTTTAACACTGTTGAAGGAATAAATAAATGAGCTAGTAGTCTAAGTCACAGATTAGTTTTAATCAAAAATTTAATACCATTGAAGGAATAAATAAATGAGCTAGGCTAAGTCACAGATTAGTTTTAGTTAAAATTTTAATACCATCAAAGGAATAAATAAATGAACTAAACTAAGTCACAGATCAGTTTTAGTTAAAATTTTAACATGGTTTAAATAATAAATCAATGAACTTAATATTAAATTAAGGAAACCAGGCAGATTGTAATCTGTGCCATTTAGAGCAGATACACGATCAGACTGATTGTCTCCATGATATAAACTTCTACGAGGACACATTGGAAAGGCATATGATGTAACCACAAAAAAAGTTATGCCATGAAATCCAAGCAATGCAAATCATCAGTAACAAAGGAAGACATGAAAAAAATATTGAATGAGGTTGGCTGGCATTTGAGAACTTGAGCTCTACTTAGTGAGCAAGTAATTAAGGTGATTGGCTTGAATCAGCACCCAGAAGGATTTATTTCAGTAACCACAGATCTCATCCCAGGACAACATGTAAAACTCGTGAGGCTTAAAATAATAGACCTGAAAGTGAGGATAAATTCTATAAATACCATAGGGCTCATTCTAAAACTCTGATTTAGCCCGGAGCCTGTAAAATTTAGAAACCCCATTTCTAAAAACTGCATGGCAACAATATGAAAATGGCTGATTGATAGCTGGTGAAGAGCATTGCATAAAATTTAGGATGTGTTAGATTATAGAAGCATAAAGTTGGAAGGGACCTTGGAGGTCTTCTAGTCTGTCATACTCCTGTTGGAGTCTGACTCAGAGGAAGAGGAGGAATAGCTGACAGGGAGTGGGAGTGTGGCTCCAGAGGTTGTGGAGGAAACTGGGGAAGGGCACAGGCCGGCTGGGCATTCAGAGGAAGACACAGGCCCATCCCCTCTTCATCCTAGGGCACACAGGGAGGAACGGAGAAGGGAGCAATGTGGTTTATGGGGGAGGAAAGGGTCCTGATCCCCTTCATGGGCTGCAGCTGTGAGGACTGTTTAAAAGTACAAACTGTGCATGACCCAGTGCTGGAAGCAAAGCATGAAATAATTCTAGTCTGTCGGTTCTTATCTGAGTTCTGACATCCTTCCTAGTGTGTGTATTTCGATATCTGTGGACGTCTTCAAGCCCTTATCCTGCCTTGTCTCACTAATTGCTTCAGTGTGGTTTGTGTTGTTTTTTCTATTTGTGATTTATATGTATTTTGAGTTTGATCGGCATTTCTTCCTTTTCGCAACTGTTTGTGGGGGAGTTTTTTCTCCAGTCAATGATAACTGGAGCTTTGAAGCCAAGTTGAAGGAATTAAAGGGAATACACCTATTTTTGTGACTGTGGCTTTTGCATCCCACCCTGGGCCATCACATTGTCCAACCCCTTGCTTGAGCAGGGGACCCTACACCATTTCAGACACATGGCTGTCCAGTCTCTTTTTATGACCAGGCTTAATGACAGCATGGTCATAAGTCAAGGCCTACCATCTGTGCTTTTCATTGCTTTGTGCTCTAAGACCGAACTAGCAGGCATTAAAACCATACAGAACAATTGCCAAGTGTGTGTTAAAAATGACACAAAATGAAATCAAGCAAAAATGTGAAGAAGGCACTAGCCTATTAAGAGAGAATGGGTGTACCTCGGCGTTTTTGTGTATTTAGATTGTCAGAACAAGTGACCTCAAAGGACTTGATAAAACTTAACAAGGATTGAACCTGGTTAACAGTGTGACAATTCCAGAGCTGTTAAGCGGAAGGAAACAACGGCCAGTCATTTTTATAATAACAGAAAGGAGACTACATAGAACATAAGAATAACAGAGTTGGAAGGGATCTTGGAGGTCTTCTAGTCTAACCCCCCGCTCCAGCAAGAGACCCTATACTATTTCAGACAGATGGTTATCCAATCTCTTCTTAAAAACCTCCAGTTTTGATGGAGCATCCACAACTTCCAGAAGTAAGCCATTCAGGGGTGGGATTCTACCGGTTCAGACCGGTTCTATAGAACTGGTTGTTATAATTCTGCGCAGTTCAGAGAACTGGCAAATCATGCCCCTGGCTGCCCCCCCTCCCCTCCCCTCCCTGCCCAGTCAGTCCTTATCGCACATGCACAACATTGCTGACTGCATTGTCCCGCATCCAGTCACTCCTTAAGGTATTTCTTTTTTTTGCTCCTGACGATCAGCTGTTCTGATGATCAGCTATGCCGGGATCCCCTTCGCTGTCTTACTGCTTTGCCCAGGAGGCTTCCCTGAGGCCCAGGAGGCCAAACAAATGGAGCACGGGAGGGGGGAGTGCTGCAAAAAAAGAGGAAGCCAAACCCACCCAGTCACCTGGCCATGCCCACCTAGCCACACCCACAGAACTGGTAGTAAAAATATTTGCATCCCACTCCTGAAGCCATTCCTCTGATTAATTGCCCTCACTGTTAGAAGTTTCTCCTTAATTCTAGGTTGCTTCTCTCCTTGATTAGTGTCCATCCATGGCTTCTTGTCTTTCCTTCAGGTGCTTTGGAGAAGAGTTTGATCCATTCATCTTTGTAGGAGCCCTTCAAATACTGGAACACTGCTATCATGTCACCTCTAGTCCTATTAAAGTATTTGGGATTAGAAGAACAAAAGGTTAATTCTGACTACCGGCATATCAGCAAAGATTGGGAAGCCACTAAAAGAGAATATCTGTAGTTGAACGGTGGCATGCTGGTGCTTGCACTGATGATGTTACCTAGTTGGGTAATGAAACGTCTTCAAGAAAGAGCCAAGCTCAGAGACCACCACAACATTGGAAATTGTCATGCCCCTGTTGGAGTCTGACTCCAAGGAAGAGGAGGAACAGCTGACAGGGAGTGGAAGTGTGGATCCAGAGGTTGTGGAGGAAACTGGGGAAGGGCACAGGCAATCTGGACAGTCAGATTAAGACCCAGGCCCATCCCCTCTTCATCCTAGGGCATGCAGGGAGGAGCAGATAAGGGAGAAACGTGAATGGTGTGGTCTACGGGGGAGGAAGGGACCCTGATCCCCTTCATGGGCTGCAGCTGTGAGGACTGTTTATAAGGACAAACTGTGCATGGCCCAGTGCTGGAAGCAAAGCATGAAATAATTCTAGTCTTTCAGTTCTTGTCTGAGTCTAGCATCCTTCCTAGTGTGTGTATTTCGATATCTGTGGACATCTTCAAGCCCTTATCCTGCCTTGTCTCATTAATTGCTTCAGTGTGCTTTGTGTTGTTTTTTCTATTTATAATTTATATGTATTTTGAGTTTGAACGGCATTTTTTCCTTTTCGCAACTGTTTGTGGGGGAGTTTCCCCCCCCCAGTCAATGATAATTAGAGCTTTGAAGCCAAGTTGAAGGAATTAAAGGGATTTCACCTGTTTTTATAACTTTGTTGCTTTTGTATCCCACCCTGGGTCATCACAGAAATGTATAGTTTACAGTAGAAATGTATAGTCTACAAATTCCTGTGGTTTTGACTAGGAGGAGCAAAACCCTACTTGGTAAAAAGGAGATGAGGGGATTATCACAACTGTTTGTGGGTCTGTCTTCAGGGTGAAACTATACCTACGGTGCTGATATCTCTATGTTTTTCTTAGAAAATGCTCGTGAAAATAATATCAACATTTCAATGGCGCTTGCTTCTATCCTGATTTGACTTCTCTTACTGCAGAACTACTTGTTTGTATCCATTACAGTTTTATATTTGTCTTTTTAATTTATAGGTCGCCGATGGTTTCCTATTTGTGGTTGGATGCGACAGAGGCAAAATCCTGTTTGTTTCCGAATCGGTTTCCAAAATACTTAATTATGACCCCGTAAGTAGCCTAGTATTTAAAACCCTTCTATGAATAGCTGTGAGTTTGCTGTAAAGAGTCACCAAGGTGGCTTGTGAGGGCCGAAGAGCCAGCATAAAAATGGGTGCTATTTGATTAATGGGCCCTCGGTGCTCCTGGTTACAGCACACGGAAATATCTGATAGGCATTGATTGAAATAAGGTTGTTACAATAGGGCATAGAAGACATGCTTCTACTTCATTGAAACAATACTGTACCATCCTTCTCTCATGGACCCATCTCATAAACCTGATAAAATATCCAGGAAACACCAATTTTTTAAATGTACAATTATCAGATCAGTCCAATAAACTCTTTTTGAATGTAGGTAAATTTTGTTGTATTTAATTAGAACCCTATTCTATTCTATTCTATTCTATTCTATTCTATTCCATTCCATTCCATTCCATTCCATTCCATTCCATTCCATTCCTTATTCTATTCTATTCTATTCTATATTATTCTACTCTCTCTTCTCTTCCATAATTCTATTCTATTCCTATTCCTACTCCTATTCCTTTCTGTTCTGTTCTGTTCTGTTCTATATTATTCTATTCTCTCCTTTTTCATTTTCTTCTTTTCTTTCTTTTCCTATTCTATTCTATTCTGTATTTTATTGTATTCTATTCTATTCCATTTTCTGTATTCTGTATTCAATTCTATTCTATTCAATTCTATGCTATTCCATTTTATTCCATTCCATTCTATGCTATTCCATGTTTTCTATTCCATTCCATTCCATTCTATTCTGTTTATTCTATTCTATCCCATTCCATTCTATGCTATTCCATATTTTCTATTCTATTCTATTCTATTCTATTCTATTCTATTCTATTCTATTCTATTCTATTCCATATTTTCTATTCTATTCTATTCTATTCCATATTTTTATTCTATTCTATTTCCTATTCTATTCTATTTCCTATTCTATTCCATTTCATATCCTATCCTACCCATGTTGGTCTGTGACCATAATAAAATTACTTCTACTATTAAAACAGGGCTTAAAAAAAGCAAACGTTTCTACTGAATTGAAAAGACGATAACGTTGATGAATTTATCTGATTGCTCAAACATTAGACTCTTGAGTTTTTATTTGCTTCTTTGACTAAGCTGGTCAAGGTGGGATCAGTAACCTTACCAAGTTGACTTCCCACAGGCACATTTGACTGGGCAAAGCCTTTTCGACTATCTTCACCCGAAGGATGTGGCCAAAGTAAAAGAGCAGCTGTCCTCTTCAGACGCTTCACCTAGAGAAAAACTGATTGATACCAAAAGTAAGCATGCAATTAAAAATCATTTCATAAGACAGGGCAATATTTTTCCTCCCGCAGTGTGTATCTGCCCAGTCTCGCACGTACTAACGCTTCTGGATAGAAATGAAAGAAAGAAAGAAAGAAAGAAACATGTTCATGGTTTTTGAGTACGGAAATGAATATTATACATGTTCTAAATCAGGGATCTCCAAACATGGCAACTTTTTAAGACTCGAGGACTTCAACTCCCAGAATTCCTCAGCCACACATTTTTAACAACCGGTTTTTTGGCTGGGTAGGCGTGGCTGGTTGATCATGTGACTGGGTGGGTGACATCACTCATCACATCCAGCCCTGCCTTCTGGCCACTCTCAAAGGCAGAAGTAGGATCCAGTCGCTTCGGGATAATTCCACCACTGGCTCGCCCTGCCCCCGCTCGTTTTTCGACCTGGTTTTTGGCCCTTTTGGGGGGTATTTTCACGCTGTTTTTAGGCCATTTTCAGGCCAAAAAATGGTTAGAAAAATGTCCAGAAAAACATCCTGAAAACGGCCCAAAAAACAGGCCGAAAATCGAGTGGGGGCAGGGCTAGCCAGTGGTGGGATTTGCCAGTTTACCAAACTGAACAGAATCTTAACTACCAGTTCACCCGAACCGATGCGAATCTGCAGCAGCCTACCTCTGGGTTGGAGATCTCTGTTCTAAATTACGTGTCCATTTCTTACAATTAGTAGAAAAGGCCTGGCATATAGGTAGTCCTCAAATTAGGGCAACCCACCCCTATTCCCCCCAAAAAGGTTCTTACGATCCAGTTTCTAAGTTCTGACAGCTGCCCCCTTACACCACTTAGTCACCTAACCACATTTTGGCCACTCATCCACCGGCCTGCATTTAACTCTGACAATGACTGCAAAGGTTGTGTGATGACCCAGGGTGTGGCACAAAGACAACACAGTCAAATAAGCAAGAAGAGTCCCTTTATTATTTCCAACTTGGCCCCCAATATCCCGGTTACCTTTGGCTGGAGAAAAACTCTCCCAGGATCAGCCTTTAACTGTAGAAAATTCAGTCCAAAACAAGGTACATACAAACTGTAACAAAATCCAAACAAACCAAGCTGAAGTAATTAATGTGACAGGACAGGAGAAGGAATTTCAGACTTGAAAGCATGGCAAAACTCACAGTTGGGAAGATACCAGGAACACAGATAAGCCACAACGGTACTAGATAAATTCATGGTTTCTCCCAACAACTTGCTGTGCGCAGCTTCCTCTTTTATACACTGTGTTCCCAGCTGAAGATAATAAAGGGAATCGGGGCCCTTTCCTCCCCTGTAAGTCACGCAACTCACGTTGCTCCCTTCTCCATTCCTCCCTGCGTGCCCTAGGATGAAGAGGGGGTGGGCCTGGGTCTTCCTCTGAACTCCCCTCTCCCTTGTTCTACCTCTCCCTTATTCTACCTCTCCCCTGCACTGCCTAGCCGGACTTTGCCGTTCCCCAGTTTCTTCCTCAGCCAATGGAGCCACATTCCCACTCCCTCTCAGTTGCTCGGCCTTCCCTTCCAAATCAGATTCCGACAGAGGCATGACAGGTTGCCAAATTTCTAGCAATAACTTGCCCAAGCTAGATAATAAATAGCCCCTTCTTGTTAACTGTTTGTGGACTGGTTCCTTTCTTTTTATTTGTTGATTGATTTTATTTTTTTAAAAAAATTGTGCTTGTCTTTTGTTGGTCTGGGACAGTTGGATTGGGTCATAGTGTTGCGAAATATTCATAGCTCTGTTACAAACATCTGTTTGTATATTCTGCTCCGACGCAACTTGAAAAGCTGGTTTGCAAGTTAACATGGATTTCCACGTGGGATCTTCCCCTCTGCATTCTGGGGCTCGGCGGTCATTTTTTTGCCGCATTAAATACACCAAAACCGCGGTCAAGGAAGAGAAGGAACAATCAGCCAACTCAAAAGAGAAAGGTATCGTTGAAATTTTTTTAAAAATAGGTTCTCTTTCAGACCTATTAATTGGTAATCCTGATGAATTATGATGCGGTTGAAAGTTGCACCGTTGGTTGGAGACCCCTGCTTTACAGAACCTCTCTAAGTGGTTTACAATGTCAGCTTCTTGCCCCCCGACAATCTGGCTCCTTGTTTTACTGACCTCAGAAGGTCGGAAGGCTGAGTCAACCTTGAGTCGGTCAGGATCAAACTGCTGACAGTGAGCAGTGAGTTAGCCTGCAATACTGCATTCTAACCACTGTGCCACAGCTCCTTCCTTCCTTCCTTCCTTCCTTCCTTCCTTCCTTCCTTCCTTCCTTCCTTCCTTCCTTCCTTCCTTCCTTCCTTCCTTCCTTCCTTCCTTCCTTCCTTCCTTCCTTCCTTCCCAATAGCACTTAGACTTATATACCACTTCACAGTGCTTTACAGGCCTCTCTAACTGGTTTACAGAGGCAGCCTCTTGCCCCCAACAATCTGGGTCCTCATTTTACCAACCTCAGAAGGGTGAATCAATTTTGAGCTGGTCAGGATTGAACTGGTGGCTTTGGGCAGAGTCAGCCTGCAATACTCCATTCTAACCATTGCACCAGGAAGGAAAGGAAGGAAGGAAGGAAAGGAAGGAAGGAAGGAAGGAAGGAAGGAAGGAAGGAAGGAAGGAAGGAAGGAAGGAAGGAAGGAAGGAAGGGAAGGACAATAACAATCGCACTTAGACATATATGTCACTTCACAGTGCTTTGCAGCCCTCTCTAAGCTATTTACAGAGTGAGCCTTTTGTCCCCAACAGTCTGGGTCCTCATTTAATCAACCTCGGAAGGATGTAAGACTGAGTAGACTTTGGGCCAGTAAGAATCAAACTGCTGGCAGTGGGCAGAATTATCCTGCAATGCTGCATTCTAACCACTGCGCCATGCATGGCTCATGTATGTTTATGTTTGTATGCGCCCCGATGTTTTGTAAAATTACAAAGACATTTCCTTAGATCAAATACCTATACATTGAAAAATGCTTAAAAACTAAATCTCACTGATAAATGTGTTGCCACCCTCAGAAGTTCTGAGGAAAAAAAATCAAAATAAAAAAAATGTTTTATCTTGACTCCATTAGATCAGAAAAAGTACTGTACCATTCATTGCACCGGTTATCTGAAAAGCTGGTCCACCAATGAGGTGGGAATTGAAGAAGATACGGAAAAAGAGAGCAGCAATTTTAATTGCCTGGTGGCAATTGGCCGATTGCGCCCTTACACCATTCCACAAAAAAGCTTTGAGATTAAAGTCAGGCCCACGGAATTTGTAACACGCTTTGCCGTGGATGGAAAATTTGTCTTTGTAGATCAACGGTAAGCATTTTATTTTTGGTCTTCCCTCTTTTTTAGAAGGCTAAAGTTTTCAATATTTAGACTGTGAATTCCATTTTCTGTACTACCTCTAGTAAAATGTTGGCAAAATAAAGTGATTCTTTAGCAAGTCAGTGCAGTATCCAGTGTGTTTTAAACATTTTGTCAAAGTTCACTGAAAACCGCGAGCTTCTAGTTCATTAAAGTTATTCTGATAAGATTGTAAGACTCTAAGAAGTTATAAACATTTCGTGTGTGTGTGTGTGTGTGCGTGTGTAGGAGAGAACATGTCTTTCAACAAATCAAATCACATTTCTTTCTTAAGCATTACCTGTGTCAGGGCTCCAACAAATCCACCCCCATTCAAATCATAAGTCTCTAGCCGCATCTCTCAGAGTAAAAAATTTGATTTATCAGGAGTGACCATGTCGGCGTTAGCTGGGTGCAGCCGACACTAAAATACATCATTAATTTCCTCCTTGACCCTGGTCTTCCCCCACCCCCTGGATATATATTCTCCAATGGGACACATCCATAGCCAAAAGTCATCAATCATGCTCTCCGGTAATAATCTTGTGTGCCGACAGCTTTGGGCTGCCAAAGCCGTTGTCTGAGGCATTTAAGGAATGCACTGCTTTCCCCCACTCTCTTTCTGCTGGCAACTAAAAAGACCAAAGGAGTATTTTTTTAGTTGACATCCTGTTTTGTACATACAACTGAATTGTGGAAAAGTTCATTTTAGAAGTTTGTAGGTTAAATACTCTTGTTTGCATTTCCCGGTGTAGAGCGACAGCCATTTTAGGATATTTACCTCAAGAACTCTTAGGAACGTCCTGTTACGAATATTTCCACCAGGATGACCATAATCACCTCACAGAAAAACACAAAACAGGTATGGTATAATTCCCTAAATCTAGTGTAGAGCTCTTGAATCAATATTTTGCTATGAAGTTACTGACCTTTTCACACATACAGATAGTCCTCGACTTAACAATAGTTCATTTAGCGACCTTTCAAGTTACAACGGACCAGAAATCCTCATGATCTTGTGATCAAAATTCAGAAGCTTGGCAACTGACTTGTACTTACGACGGTTGCAGTGTCCCAGGAGGTCATGTGAGTCCCCTTTTGCAACCTTCTGATGAGCAGAGTCAACAGGGGAAGCCAGATTCACTTAACGACCGGGTTACTAACTTATCAATGGCACTGATTCCCTTAACAACTATGGCAGGAAAAGTCATAAAATGAAACAAAACTCACTTAACGAATGTCTCACTGAACAACAGAAGCATTAGGCCCCATTGTCATCGTAAGTCGAGGACTACCTGTGCTGGTTTAATAAATAGCATGCATCACTTTGTAAAGTTGATTTATGAAAAGTCTGGAGGCTGTTTATAAAAGGACTGGAGGCTAAAACATACAATGAATTATTGCAGGAACTGGACCTGGCTAGTCTAGGGAAGAGAAGGACCAGGGGAGACAGGAGCGCAGTCTTCCAATATCTGAGGGGCTGCCACAGAGAGGAGGAAGGGGTCAAGCTATTTTCCAAGGCACCCAAAGGCCAGGCAAGGAATAATGGATGGAAACTGATCAAGGAGAGATTCAACCTGGAAATAAGGAGAAATTTTCTGACAGTGAGAACAGTCAACCCATGGAACAGATGTTGCCCTCAGAAATTGTGGGAGTTTCATCACTGGAGGCTTTCAAGAAGAGACTGGACTGCCATTTCCGGAAATGGTGTAGGGCAGGAGTCTTCAAACTTGACAGCTTTAAGACTTGTGGGGTTCAACATCCAGAATTCCTCCTCTAGTCATGTTAGCTCAGGAATTCTGGGAGTTGGAAGCCCACAAGTCTTAAACTTGCCAAGTTTGAAGACTCTTGGTGTAGGGTCTCCTGATTGGGTGGGGTGACCTATAAGGTCCCTTCCAACTCTGTTAATATGTAATCTTAATCTGTAAATTTTTAATTGATGGCTTAGTTCTGGGTAAAATAATCTTTCACATAATAGAGCAAAAAAGAAATATAAGACAGGGTCTTATTTTCAGGGAAACATGGTACCCATAGCTGAATTTCAGATTTGATGGTCAATTTCTTCCCAATTGTTTATATTGAAATCAGTATGATCGGTACAATGGATTAACCGAGAGAATATATAAAACTCTTAAAAATTGTGAAATTGCCATATAGGTTAAACTCCATTTAGTTGACACCTTAATTCACCTTGGTCTCATTGAATAACTTACATCTGTAAATATTTTTATTTTCCCGTAGTGTTACAGAGCAAAGAGAAAATATTTACGAATTTCTACAAATTCAAAGCGAAAGACGGCTCTTTTGTCACCTTAAAAAGTCAGTGGTTTAGCTTTACCAATCCATGGACCAAAGAACTGGAATATATTGTGTCAATCAATACTGTTGTTTTGTAAGTTTCTCGGTATTCTGCATAAAACGGCATGTTTTTGTGTAGCTCTGTTTTATATTTTAATTATATAGTACTAAGTATGGGAGCCAGCTGGGTGACTTTGGGCCAGTCACTCTCTCTCAGCCAAACGTACCTCATAGGGTTGTTGTTGTGGGAAAAATAAGAAAAGAAATATGTGTTGTTATTTGTAAAAAATAATAAAGAAGGGATACAAATAATTAAAATGTTTGGAACTGGCTGCATCAACTATCCTTGGATGGTTTCATAAGTGAAAGGGGTGGGTGGGTGTTAGCAGTTATTTTCCTCTGATACATTGAAGAATATAATTGCTATTCTTGGAGGAAGCCACATTTTCTTCCTTTGTGCAGAAATAATGTTGCATTGAAGCCACCCAAGAGAGATGTCCTAATTTACTAATTTATGAAGATATCTATATATCTAAGAGCGAAAGACCATTCATGCATCATCACAAAATCTCCAGAATCGTAAAGTCTACAAACTTGGAATCTGGCACGGATGTTCCTCTTGGCTTCTAGGGGCTCACTAAGAAAGGATTTTTCCTAATGACCATCAGAGCATTTAGAATATTTCCTATATTCTTATTATTAACATGCTCTGATGCTAAGGAGTTCTATTCCCCCTCCCCACCTGAAAAGAAATCTGTTGTTCCAAATGCAAAACACAAGCAGAGGAGAGGAGTTTCAGTTTCCATTTCCATTTCAGAGCATCAAGCAGCTTTAGTACAGAACAGTTGAGCTAAGTCATGCCCAGGCTCCTTGCTTTCTCCTTCTTGCTCACACAGCAAATACTGATTCAGTTTCCAAATAGCCCTCAACTCTCTCACATACTGACAGGATACTAGCTAGATGAATACCGATGATATTGGTAGGCAGATGCAGAATCCCCCCGCCTTAATTTCCTCCCCCAAAACTAGGCCTGACCACATAGTTTCGTAGAGAAGGACTTGCAAAGATGCTGAGTTACCACCCAGGTGCAAAATTTATGCTCCTGGAGAAGACGGGATGAGGATCACATGATGTGGTTTTATAAGGGATATAAAACCAGATAGCCTGCATTTAATTTTCTAATCACTAGTGGCAATGGAGTCTAAAACGGGATTCTAATGTTAGCCAGATCCAAACATTGAACACACATTTCTATCTAAGGATAGTTCAATCATGACAAAATTGTCTTTTTTTGTTTTTGTTTACTTCTGCAGAATAATTTTTGGAAGCTCATGCTTCTTTTCTGTTTGCTGGTCTCTAACATGAAGCAGTAAGTTGTGCATGCGGCAGCAAACTTATAACGGCTAGAGAAACTTATTTGTGTATTTTTGGTTTTATATTTTTAGAGGTCACAATGAATCAGGTGAAGAAACTCCATTAGCCTGCAGTTCCCTGTCTCCAGAAGGCAAGTCTATTTTTAGGGGAGTGGTTTTTTTCAGAGTTGGGCTTAGTCTTGTGAAGAAGTGTGTGTGTGTGTGTGTGTGTGTGTATACGGGAAAAGACCCGAACACACCTAGACCTACACACACACATACATATATATTTGTTTTCTTAAGTTTTTGCGGGTATTTATATGTATGGTGTTCAGCTTTGTTCAGGTATTTTCCCATGTCATTAGAGTTGTGCTTTTAAAGTTGTAGCAACATTTCAGCAGAATCTCATCTGCCATCATCATGAGATTCAATACATCATCAGTATTGTGTTCGTCTGTGAGTCAGACTTTCACAGCTGTTTCTGTTTTAAATTTGGTGCTAATGGTTTTTAATTCATCCTGATTGGTTGGGAGTCTTGGTCTGTGTTTATTGATCTTGGAGTTTGCTGTGTTCTGCTTGATTGGTGTTTCTAATATCTTCTGTCTGTTTTGTAGCTTTTTGTATCTTGATTGGCTGGCAACATTGTGTTCCTTTATTGGAGGCCTTTAGTGCAGCTTGGCTCCGAGTAAATGGACGGCTATCATTTGTTAGGAAGCTGGGTTTCATCTGGGTGCCTGGTTGGGGTGTGTTTGAGCTGGAGGTATCGGGGGGATCTGTTTGTGCCCAGATGTTTGCCTGGCTTGTGATGTGGAGATTTTTTTGTTTGAGAGTGCAGGCTTCCAGATAATTGACAGTCTGGTGGAGTCATCTCTTCTATTCATGCTTTCAGGTATATACATATCTCATCATTAAAACTTGAAACAGTGGCAATGATTGTGCTTTAGAGCATCATTTTATTGAAGGGAAATGTCATAACACTCATAAAGTTTCAAATTGATGGTTGTCTTATCATAAAGGGCCACGAAAAATAGATACATAGAATAGGATTTTTTTAAAAAAATCTATCCTTGTTTTAACACCTTTCATTTTAGGAAAGCTACAGGTCGGTCTTATACTTTCCTCTTAAAATACAGATGCCACAAACCCTCAATTTCTTGATGTACCAGGGATGTCTACAGGGACCATCCTAGGAGCCGGTAGCATAGGAACCAAAATTGCAAACGAAGTCTTAGATTTGCAAAGGTACAATAATAATTCTACAGTTCTGGATTATACATTTCTTACAGATCAAGTGGGGGTGTTGTTATTGTTGTTATTATTGTTATTTTTGTTATTATTGTTGTTGTTATTATTATTATAATTATAATTATTATTATTATTATTATTATTATTATTATTGGAAAAGAAAATGGATGCTCTCTAAGCTTTTTTTTTTTTAAAAAATGCAACAATCCTAAATATAAAAAAGAAGTTTCAATGCTTATTTTCCCCTTTTCTCATTGCTTAAAGTCCTTTTCCTAATTTTTTTTAATTTGGTGAGATATTTTTCATGCTTATAAAAGGACAAGCATCAAAACCATGAAATGATACAGACTGCCCTGATATTGCAAAGGGAGAAAATCAGGGGCGGAATTCAAAAATCCCAGCCACCGATTCGCTGCCCGGTTGCTGGGTGGGCATGGCCATGGTGCGCATGGCCTACCAGAACTTCTGGGAGGGCCGTTTTTCGCCTTCCCCAGAGTCCGGAGGCTTCCCTCAGGCCTCTGGGAGGGCGAAAATGGCCTCCCCAGGCTCCAGTGGGCCGCCAGAAACTGGAAACAGGCCCATTTCTGGTCTCTGGAAACAGGCCCTTTTCCAGTCTCCAGAAACAGGCCCATTTCTAGACTTCGGGAACTTCCGGTTTGGTCCATTTTTCACCCTCCCAGAGCCTCTGCACAGACCCTGCACTTACCTGCATCCGTGTGGCGACTCCTGGGAGGGGAGGGGTGGGGTGGGCAGGACCAGCCGATCAGTTCAACTACAGGTCTGGTGAACCAGATGTAAATTTAAGCACCGGTTCGCCCGAACCAGCCCGAACCGGCTGAATTCCACCCCTGGAAAAAATGGCTTCCCTCCTCCATTGAAAGAACACGAGACAATGAACACCTGTTTGCTGCCTTAAGTTACCTGTTGGAATTTCATTTCGTGGAGAACTTGTTTGAACTGTAGTATTGTAACCCATACACTTTTTTTCTAGAATTAATCTGAGCGATTTGATCCAACTTCCCTATCCTGGGGACGTGAATCTCATTGTTCATCGAACATAGAATAACTGAGTTGGAAGGGATTTTGGAGGTCCTCTAGTCCAACCCCTTGATCAGGCAGGAGACCTTACACCATTTTGGACAAATGGCTGCCCAGTCTCTTCTTGAAAAGCTCCAGGGATGGAGCGCCCACAACTTCTGGAGACAAGCTTTTCCACGGATTGATTGTTCTCGCTATCGGGTTAATAGCACGATCTGGTTTACTTCAGAGCAATTCTGAGCTTGAAGTTAATTCAGAATTGATTTTGGACTAGAGATCAGTTCAGGGTCTGATGAGTACAGCTGGTGAAGAATCTGGCAGGCAGGACCCTAGAATTAAAGTAATTGCCAAGCTCAATATATGGCTGAGGGCATGAAAAACCCTAAACAAATTTTGACCAGGTCACTTGATAGATTCTCTCCTCCACTTTTGTTCCTGAGATCCATAGAGAAGGTCCAATTTTTATGTTGCTGTTTGTGCATTGAACTCCAATTCTTTCTTTCTTTCTTTCTTTCTTTCTTTCTTTCTTTCTTTCTTTGTTTCTTTCTTTCTTTCTTTCTTTCTTTCTTTAAATTTCTTTCTTTCTTTTTTCTTTCTTTCTTTCTTTCTTTCTTTCTTTCTTTCTTTCTTTCTTTCTTCCTTTCTCTTCCTTCCTTCCTTCCTTCCTTCCTTCCTTCCTTTATTATCTATCTATCTATCTATCTATCTATCTATCTATCTAGTATCTATCTATCTATCTATCTATCTATCTATCTATCTATCTATCTATCTAT